TTATATAATAAAAGAATATTCATTATACAGATATAAATTTGCTGTGAGAAAGTATTTTTCTTTCTGATAATACCTTTTGCTTTTATATAGCACTTTTATTTGTTTATGCAGAAATCTACAAAGTAGGCTTATTTTCTGGGCTGTGCATTCTGATGCACTGAATGATGAAAGCTGACCACTATTGATTCCTTTTCACTGCCTAAATCCTATGTTAATAATAATAAGTATTTGAGATTTTCCAAAATTTATGCTGAGCTTCTATTTTGCCATACGCTAGTTGTTTAATGTAATCGAAAGTTCAATGAAGTAATATAGGGAGAGAAACACCATAACCCATGGGTACAACAATACGGTAAGGGAGACAAATAAAATCCAAGAATTTGGAGAGAATTTAGGAATTTCTCCTTATATCAACATATGGAAGGATTTTTATAGCAGGCATGGAAGAGTGGGTGTCACAGGGTTTTTAGTGATTCAGCATTGCAGCATAAAAGCTCAATTTTAGTTCTAGTTACCTCATTAAGAAAAAGGGGTTTTTTTCCCTTATAAGTTTAATTACTAAAAAAATGCATTCTATTTAAGTTAGTAAGTTATATACTACAGCATCCTAACTGATCAATGACATATCACAGTATGCTGGAAATGTCCTTTTCATTGAGTTGCACAATGAAAGCATATCTTAATTTAAGTCTCAAATACTAGCTCCTTTGGACAAAAATTGAGGCTTATTTGAATGATTTTATTGAGCAAAAGAGAAGTACTAAAATGGGTGCTCTCTTTGTAATCCAGGCATTGTTCCTACTGAGCTGACTAGGAATTGAACTTAAATGAGATTTGAACAGACAGACTCAGAAAGGAAAGACTCACAGACTGCATTCTATTGAAAGGAAGAATGGCTCTGTATATAGGGATAAACTTGTTTATGATCTATGTTTTCTATAAGACTGTGCAAGTCACCTTACTTTCACAGTTCTTCTATCCAAAAACTGAAAATAAGGAAACTAACTTTCACTTACGTGCTTTCTTTTTAAATTGGAATCTAATTATGTTAAGAAGGACAGTATTTTCTGCTATATTTCTTTTACAGTACTGGAGTAAAACAAACCTCTGTAGAGATCTTTAACCACCACAATATCACAAACAGCAAACAACAATAATATTTTGTTTAACTTCCCAATTATCTTTATGGCTCTAAGGAAAGCCCTCAGGAATCCCAAGAGCTTTGGGATTGTATGGACTGGAAAATGCAATAAACCTCCTCAGCTCTTCACTCGGCTCAGACTTCAATATCCATACAGGCCAGGCAAGGGCTGGAGTATTAGCAGAGGCACAACTCAACTCAGCACACCTCACTTGCCATGAGGCACAAGGATGAAACATACACTGGGGTATGTGCAATGGCAATACCTCTCCTCTGCCCTTCCCTCCCCAGATCCCTTGACTACGACAATTTTCTGTGTCTGATGGTGGAAGGGTATATTTTGACAAGTCTTCAGTTCTGATCATAATTTAACTAGACATAGTGCATGTATGCATAAAGCCACATTGGTGCTGGAGTTCAATAGGCCTTTGGTCAGCTTTTTTTTCCCCTGCATAATCCTTTGTGACCTTTCTTTCTTGCTTAATAATAATTAATTTTACATGCTTATGGTACTATTTATACTTCCCCTTCTTGGTTCATTTCACAAGATTCACCTCTAATGAGACAGTCAATATAGTACACTTAGATTTTCAAAAAGCTTTCAAAAAGCTTCCTCAACAAATGCTTCTAAAGAAACTGTATGCAATTTGTAAGAGGGAAAGTCATTTGAGGGATTAGCAACTGGGGAAAGCTGAGGGGAGGAGAGGGAAAACAGTAAGAAGGAAAAGTTAATTTTTGCAAAGACTGAGTGTTACTAAGATAAGTGACATAAGTGGCCTACCTCAAGCTGGGTCATGTTCTGTTCAATAGTTGTAAAAGAAATTGGGGTTAAATGACAGTGTGAAAAGCTTACGGATATTTCAGTGGACTATGAAGAGTTAAAGAAAGCCTTCAGAACACAGCCTCACAAGGCAGTAAAACGGAAGATGAAATACAATATTGGTAAGCATAAAGCAATATGATTACATGTGCATTAGAGACAGAAAAAAACCAGAAGAGCTTCAGCATTGTGTCATGCCATTGGTCAATCATTTTATGATTATTAAATATGAGGGGCCAGGAGGTTTTCTGGAAAACTTTTAATTTTCTCAATCCCAGCTACATTTTGGAACTATTTTTTCCCCTAGTGATTACCCTGTAACTGTAATCCTACTGATATAAAGTGGCTGCATTAATGTCAGACTTTACCCAAGTATTTTTCTTTACTGTTTTTTAAATATGTCACTTTCTTTCTGATGATCAGACTAAGTACTAACCATTTTTGAGTTACCAGAAAGCTCTTCTTTTTCTTTAAAAAGATGTTAGTACACAACCATTCTTTGATTCTATGATTCTATGAACTTCTTGGTTTCCTGTTAAATAGTGAAGTTTATTTAGAGAAAAACATCTCTTAAAGAAATAAAAATCAGGGGAGGCTGTTCTAGTTGGTTGAAACAGCTTGGAAATGAACTACTTTTTTCAGGTCTTTCTATAAGAAGATTCCAGTGTCTTTTTAACAGGTGGTTAACCTGTTTAACAGGTGGTTAAACAGGTTTAACTAGCTGAGAACAGAAGTAGATAGCTTTCCAGCATGTGGAAATAACTAATGGAGCAATAGCAATGTCCCAAAATTCACAACTAGTTTGATGTACTTTCTTGCCTTTTTTCTTCTTGCAATATTTCCAGAACACCATTCATAGTCAGTAAATACTGCTTATTTGAAATTGATGGGTACATTACACTTCAACAAGATGCATCTCATCTTTATGCATCTCTCTCTTTCTGCTTTCACATTGCATCTCACAAGAGTTCGTTAGTGACTCCAAATTACTGCTGCAGAGTCTGTATATACTGGTAACCCTATTATAGAAGTGCTGGTGGTGTCAGAGTACAAAATCACATGCTAATACAATTCCTCTAATGGCTGTAGTTTAATAGTGAATTGCAATGAATTCCAGTTGTATCACTTTCTTCATACTCATTGTGATTCTGTCTAACCTAATTGATAACTGAATCTTACTCCTCTCATGAACTTTCTAATGGATGAATATACAGAGAAGAATGGTTTAGAGAAATGTAGACAAAAAAAAAAATTCATTATGCAGAATGCAGACTACATCTCTTCTCCACTCAATGTTAGCCACTGGTTCTCAAGCAGATTGCTGAGGAATGAACCAGGGGTAAGGAAAAAAACTCAAAGCACTCAGAAAAGCTTTAGGTAACATATAACCAGTGTAAGTAAAATATTAAAGTATTTAAAATCAAAGGTTTCATCTTTCTGAGTGACAGTATATGTTTAAGGGAGAAGAGTCACGTAAAAAACTACAACAAACACCGACTGCCCTTCAGAAGCTGACTGACATAATGATTCTTTGAGGTCCAATCTCATGTCCAAAACATTTATAACTCTTCACAGTTGTAGTAATAATAATGCATAGGATGGAATACTTTATGATGGGGACAGCCTGCAATTCTGAATTTAACAAACACATCATAGTATTGTTTCAAAATAAACCAGATTTCAAGGTTTGCAAACAGTGTTTTCCTAGGCGCTTTTCAGAGTTCATAGTCCTCCAAGGATGAAGCTTTGATATATTTTCAAGAATAGCACTTAATGAAATCTTTTCATAATGTATTTTTAAAGAATGTACAGTGCAGGATTTTTTTTGTTGTCATGTCAAAACTGCTATATCCGCCATAATGGAAGACCTCTGTATCTATTGATTTTTTTGATGCAGATATTAATTCTATGAGGATTTGTTAAGTGAGTGATGGAGAGGAGAGGAAAAATAGCTAGAAGATGTATTTATACTGGAGGTGATCTATGTCCATATAGGGCTTACATCTTTGCCAATCAGATCCTCCTGATTTTCCACAATCCCCCAGGGAGCTATACCAATGGTGCAGATCTTCCCTCGAGATTTTGAGGCATGATCTTTTAGTGCATCTCCAACATGCCGAATGACTCCTGTAAAGGAAACAGCATAAAATAGGAATGCATAATCATGTCCTTTTGTTCATTATGGTATAGTTTTAGTATAAAATTCTTTTTTAGGGAACACCTATGCATATACTTACAATTAAGTAAAGATATGACTATATTCTTATTATTATTACAGTAATACTGTAAGTCTATTTTATATAAACTAAAAAATATTTAATGAAATAGCAAGAAATAATCACACAGATCTAGAAATAAGAATGTAAATGTTGACAGCTGACTGTAACTTGTTTATCTGCACTTGTATTGACAAGCATATATGCATGCAAGCATTTGTATCGTTCCCAAGCATAGAGAGAAGCACAGGAATTAACCCCACTCCCTCTTCACCAGCCCCTCCCACCAAGTGTAACTCACACACAAATGTTCCCTTCTGTCTGAATAAAGGATGGAGATGTGAAAACATCACTACACTGCTCTGTGGTGAGCTATTCTACCATTCTTTCCAAACAAACTCAGTCACGTGAGTTAGCTTCCAACTGCGTATTAGACAGCCGTATTTCAGGATTTTTCAATTAGGTATTTCCTTAAATCTGATTAAAAAATTTATCGTCAACAGAATGGACTGTACTTAGAAATTCTCAATTTGTATAATTTCACATAGAGAAAAACCACTTAATTTTCACGTGTAAAGTTTGAAAACCTAGCCCTGGAGCAATCAAGTACTTCGCTCCAGAAATTAAAAAAAAAAAAAAAACACAAAACAAAACAATGTGAGGTAACTGATAACGCCAAACTCTTTCTGGAATTAAATATTTTTAAAATAACACACAACAACTTGAATTTCATCTTTTGTCCAGAGAATTTTTGATTACAGGAAAAAGAATTCCTTTCCAACAGTAATATGTTGGCTTTCCTGGTTCATTTGTACTGGTTTGCAACTATGGTGGTCTGAAAAATAGTATGATGCAGTTGCGCATTTACCAAATGCAAATACTGTAGTCAGTTCTTGTTTCCAAAATTTCTGTAGTTTGATTTTTACAGTTCCTGTGGTAATTCACTGCAATGAGTGTATAATAGCTACAGTTTTCTAATGTGTTTTTGACTTAAAATGTGTAACGGTCTTTGCCATTGTCACTACAAGAGTATCTGGCAACTATTGTAACTATTATCACTACAGTACACAGGTCAACATTTAACCTGACTTTCTTCCTTGTTCTGCAGAGATGTGGGGGATATTACATATGTGTGAGTCTGTCTATTTATCTAACACTCCAGAAGCTATACCTCTTCTTTGGTATTTGTATTCCTGTTGTGATAAAACTGAATATTGTTTTAAATTTGATGTGCTCTGGAAACTGAAAAGCTGAAGACTCCTATTAAGCATTCATATTCACATCTGTAGAAGCTGATCCACAATGTACTAAAACTAAACTATGATAGAATGATTACAATGCTTTCCATAGGCAATAAGAGGATAAACTCTGTAGGATTGCTAAAATACTAAGTTATAACTTTGTTACTGCGGCAAATGTGAATGAACTAAGAATTTACATGTCCTAGCTCAAAAGTTTTTGCATTTATCTCTAACAGAACTCTGACTTTCCCTTGACTCTCTCCTCCTTTCTGCTTCCTTCAGGGAGAGTGACTGGGAAGCCATTGCTCAACCATTTTTATCTGGAGAACCATGTTTTGCAGCTTATTCCCCAAACCTACATGCTGTCTCCCAGTAGAGATGGGCCAGCTGCTATCTTGGGTCATTAGGACACCCATATGGTATATTTCAGATGTTCTTAACATTGCATAGAAATGGCAGTGTTATTGCTCTTGCTGCAGGGGTAATAGAAAAAAAATAGGTCAAGCTGTCTAAAAGAAAGGAAAAAATTGTACTTATTCACAACGAAGTTCTTCACCACATACACCAAACAGAGCATCTTTTCCTTTCATAATTCAGATCATCTTATAAGATAAAATAAAGGTCTTTTCTGAAATAAAATGTTAATGTTTTTATGCAATAAGAGTTTGACTTCTTTGGTTTCTGGTTAGTAGTCCCTCCCTGTATCTTACTGTTGACCTTACAGTCTTCACTGGCAATATACTAATACAACTGCCTCACAGGAGGCTTTATTTTCAGCTCTTCATTGTGCTTTTCATACTTTAGCAAACCTCTTATTCCCTGTAGCTGTGAGACTGGTATGAACTTGGCATTTTCTTGTTTGCACATAGTATAGCCAACACTAATAAAATAAAACATGGAACAGTTTCTTAATCTCACCAGTCCTAATTGTCTTCTGTGATAAAATCTCCTAGATGTCACTGTGCTTTCATTTCAATATTGCTGTTACCTGTGTTTACTCCTCCAGTGAATATCCATGCTCCAGTTGTCATAGCAGCCTTAATGAGGCCTTTTCCAAAGACTTGTTTGAGTTTTGGCTGAAGTTCAAAATTCTGAAGGCCCCCATGCACAGAGATGAGAAGTTTGGGAAGCTCAAGCTGCCACTCTTTGGTCATCAGATGAAGAAGAAGGTCAGGCTTTGTGTCAAAAGACACACGTACATACTGCAGAAATAAGGCCAGTAGTAGAGAAAATAAATTGGTTATACTCACTGGTTCCTAATACATATGATCTATGTTCAATAGATCACTGAAAAAAGGCGATGTTCATGATAAAAACACAAACTAATTGCTAAATGAATTTTTCAAAAGTTAGGAAATTGGGAACAATGGAACACTTGCAATACACAGGCTGGACAATATACCTTTATTTATGTCCTAGTCCCAGGCAGCGATTAGCTGCTCTCCTAGGGACAGTCTATACTTTGTTTCACTCCATAATACCTCAAGCTGAGTGGTTGGTGTCATGGTACCAGTGGCACTGTGAGCCAATGGGGCAGGGAGTGGGGGGATGTTTGCTGGCAGGAACGACCCAGAAGCTGTGGAAGGGTCAGCTCAGGGGTCCCAGCCAGGAGCGGTCCCTTGTTTGGGACCCTGTGGCAGTTGCTTGGGGCAGAAGGAGCGTCTTTTGTCAAGCAGATTGATCTAGGAGTGGTGGTTTGAAAGTTTTCTTTTTCCTCTCCCTGCTCTCAGTGTCCTGGGCTGATTGAGGTTTTGTTTTTCTTCCTTTCTGGGGGTTTTTGGATTTATTTATAAACATCAGCCTCTGGAAATAACTCCTGACCAATGTGAAGAAGAGGTCCCACAGCTACTCAGATGAACCAGCACGGAGAATGGCATCCAGTATCTAAGAGAACTAGTGGTGCTGGAGATTGTTTACTCAGACCCAAACAACCCACGAGCATCTAGTGACCCAGACGAAATTTACTGCACTAGACCCATGTGGCAGAAGTTAATACGCAGCACACAACCCTCATATTCTAGAGTGTTCTGAATAACAACTTGGAGAGATGATGAGGCACCAACTGTAGACGAGATGATTTGCCGATTCTGAGAATATGAGGATAGTCTCTC